CTCAACAGCTAAACAAAAAATAAAAACTCCCAACAATCAAAAAAAAACTAGACATTTCTCCAAAGAAGACACCCAGACAACAACAGGCACAGGAAAAGGTGCTCAACATCGCTCCTCATCAGGGCACCCGGGGGGCTCGTCAGTTAGCGCTCTCTCTCTCGCTTGTTCAAAAATAAATAAATATAAAAAACAATTTTTTAATCACTTAGCATCAGGGAACTGCATATCAGGACCACAGTGAGATGCCACATCCCACCTGCCGGAATGGCTACCGACCACAGGCCAGAAGGAACAAGGGTTGGTGAGGATGTGCAGAAAAGGGAACCTGGTGCACCCCTGCTGGGAATGAAGACTGGTGCAGACACTGTGGAAGGCAGTACCGAGGTTCCTCAAAAACTTAAAAATAGAAGTACTGTAAGATCCAGCAACCCCACTTCTGTGTATTTACCCGAAGGAGAGAAACCACTAACACAGAACGGTATCTACCCCACACATTCACAGCAGCATTATTCACCAAGGACAAGACACGGAAACAGGTAAATTTCCTCTGACGGACGAGTAGACACAGAAAATGTGCTCACAGACACAGTGGAATATTACTCTGCCAATAAAAAAAGGAAAACCCTGCCGTTTGCGACAACATGGATGAACCTTGAGGGCAAGATGTTAAATGAAAGAAACCACATAGAAGACGACAAATCCTCTATGTGAAATCTAAGGAAAAAAGTCCAGACTCAGATACAGAAGACAGGGGGGTGGTTGCCAGTGAGATGGGAGAAATGGGCAGAGGCACAAACTTCCAGGTATAAGAGAATTAGACCCGGGGACATAAGGCACAGCATGGGGACTGTAGTCAGTAGGTCCCAGCTCCACAGGTGCAAGGTGCTAAGGCCTTAAGTGCTCTCCACACACGAGGAAAGCTGTGACCGTGTGGTGACAGATGTTAACTACTTTGGGGATCTGGTCACAACACACACAGTATCTGATCACTACGCCGGACACCGGAAACTAATTGAAAGCTGTATGGGAGTTCCATCTCAGCTCCAAACAGGAAGGAAATCCTGCAATGTTGCTACACACAGTTGAGCCTTGAGGACGCGCTACTCTGTGAAACAGGCCAGACACAAGACCAACGCAGGAGGGACCCACTCATAGGTCCCAGTGTCGTCAGGCTCACAGGCACGTAGATGGCGTGGCCGGCGCAGGGGGCAGGGCAGTGAGTGTTTAGTGGGGACAGAGTCTTCTCAGTGTGGGGAGATGGAAAGTTCTGGAAACAGATGGGGGTCATGGCTGCTTGGCAATGTGAATGTGGTATCTGCCCCTGCACCTTACACATAAAAGCAGTTAAGACTTTAGTTTTATGTTATGTGTGTTTTAACACAATATTAAAAGTTTCTTTAATGTTTATTAATTTATATTGAGAGAGAGAAAGAGTGTGAGGAGGAGGGGCAGAGAGAATCCCAAGCAGCCTCTGTGCTCTGCACAGAACCCAACTCGGGGCTCAATCCCACGACCCTGGGATCATAACCTGAGCTGAAATCAAAAGTCAAATGTTTAACGGACTGAACCACGCAGGTGCCCCTATTTTAACACAATGAAAAGAAGGGGGGGTGCCTGGGTGGCTCAGTTAGTCCAAGTTTGACTCAGGCCATGATCTCACAGTTGATGGGTTCGAGCCCCGTGTCAGGCTCTGTGCTGACAGCTCGGAGCCTGGAGATGCTTCAGATTCTGCGTCTCCCTCTTTCTCTGCTCCTCCCCTGCTCGTGTTCTCTCTCTTGGTCTCTCAAAAATGAAAAAATGTTTTAAAAAATTTTTAAAAAAAGAAAGAAGGGGGAAATAGCCTGTCCCAGGCACTGTCCTGACGGATGGAGAGCAGCAGATGAGAAAGCCCAGACCCTCCCCTGCACCCCCGGGACTGGGCAGACCAGGTGAGCTGGGGCCATGCAGGCAGCTCACAGGCAGGGGGAATAAGTGAACAGGGTACGTGCCAGCTGGTGGGCACCTGGTGCAGGGCAGGGCTTAGCAAACACAGAGTCCAAAGCCAGCAGCAAACGAGGAGGGTAACGGGGACAAGGTTGTCCCCACCCCATCCCCCGCCCAAGTCCCTCCAGGTCATCGGACCCGAGGTTCGAACCTGTCTCACAGAGGCAGGCAGCTTGGAGGACACTCAGGTCCCCCTGCCCTGCCCAACCCCCCAGATGGAGACCCCACCTGGGCTTTGGAGAGGACGGGGGTCAAACACGCCTCCTCCCCTAGGCCTGTCACAAGAAGCGCTTCTTGAGGAGGCTGTGGGCCAGGTCCCATGTTCAAAGGCGGGGAGCCCGCTGCCAGGACAGATGACAGGGAGAAAGGGTCTGGGAGCAGGTCTTGTGGGGGCTACAGGTACCCCCTCCTCCCAGGAGCCCTCACATGGCCAGCTGGCCAGGTCTGCCCAAATCTACTTCAAGGCCCTCCAGGCCGGGCAGGAGAGGCGGCCTGGGCCTGCCCCGATGTCCTGCTGCCCAGGGCCCATGCCTCAGGGCCCCTCCTGGCTGGGGTCAGAGTAGCCATGAGCCAGTCCATGTCACCACAGAATGGCCCCCAGCCGCCCATCTGAACTATGGCAGACTTGGGGGCCCCAGCAGCATCCCACAGCGGCACAGAACCTGGACAGACGAGGAGGCTTCATCCAAGCAGCAGGGACCGTGGGTGGGCATTCCATGGAGGTCATGAGGGAGGGGACAGGGCAGCAGGCCTCATCCCCGACACCCCTGGAGCAAGGGAGAAGGCCACGAAAGGGGGCAGGGCTACAGCATCAAGAGATCTGCTCTCATTAAAAAAAAAATTTTTTTAAAGTGGGGGGTATCTGGGTGGCTCAGTCGGTTGAGCGTATGACTTCAGCTCAGGTCATGATCTCACGGTTTGTGGGTTCGAGCCCTGCGTCAGGCCCTGTGCTGACAGCTCAGAGCCTGGAGCCTGTTTCAGATTCTGTATCTCCCTCTCTCTGATCCTCCCCTGTTCACGCTCTTTCTCTCTCTCTCTCTCACCCTCTCTCTCAGAAATATATAAAATATTTTTAAAAAAATTTTTTTAAAAAGAGATTTGCTCTGCCTTTGAAGCACTGTGTCCCCCATGGCGGCTCAAGTTTCCAAGGCCTCAGTTTCCCCAGCTGTGAAATGGGCTCCACCGTGCCAGACAGATTAGGCAAGATGCCGGTGTCATGGGCCCATTCTGAAAGACCACTGGCTTGGCCCAGTGCCAGGGAGAGCTGGGCTTGCAAGCATCGACCACTCCAGAGCCCCACGTGCCTGCCTCGGGGTGGATGCTGGCCGAGCGGGTGGACTGGGCAAGGCACTGCCCACTGGAAGTGAGGGAGCCCCTGCAGGCCAAGGAAGCCCCCTCTCCCACCTACCAGGCTGGGGGCCCTGGAGGTAGCTAGAGGGAGGCTCTGGGTCCAAGGACGCTGCTTCCAAGCAGGGTGACCAGGCAGGACAGGGCCATACCCCTCCCCTGGCCCCCAGCACAAGTCTGAGAACATGCTGGCTGCCCTTCCTCATCTGACCTTTCCCTGGCATGGTCAGTTTTCCTGAACAAGTGGAAATACGGGTCTGGAAGAGGGAGGTGGGGAGGGAGTGGGGTGAGCCAGCCCAGCCAGTGGGAGCAGGGCACAGTAGTGATGCACAGCTGCCCCCAGAGCACCATCAGGGTGGGCCCTGAGGCTCCCAGGCTCAGGAGGCCAGAGGGGGCAGCCACCTCAGTCTGCCCTGCTTCCAGAAAAGCCTGTCGCTGCCTCCCATCTGGGACATTCAGGCTCCAACATCCCAGCCGACATCAGATCCCCAAAACCTGGGGCTGCTAGGACCCCTCCCAGCCTAGCAGGTGGGCAATAGAGAGCCAACACTGGTCCCTTTTGGATGCATGTCCTGGACTGGTGTCTCAGGGCGAAGGCAGGGCTCGAGCCCCTCCGTGGGGTGCCAGCTTTGTTCTGAGGGGCTCAGACTACAAACCCCAGCAGCATCCAGGGTCCCCCTGGAGTGCCTGGGAACAGCCCCTGAGTGCGGCCACCCTCCACAGTGGGGAGCAGGTGAGCCTCTAGGGGCCGTCCCTGCCCCACCCCCACCCTCAGCAAGGCGGGGCGGGGGGGGGGGGGGGGGGCTGCTGCTGAGGCTCCAGAGCAGGTACTGCTGGCTGGCGGCCTGAGGGCACAGTCTGCTTCCTGTCAATCTCAGGACAACTAGCCCCAGGAAGGGAGGGGAGACTCCTCAGGACTCTGGCACCTTGGAAATCACCCCAGAGCAGGGTCCACCCAGAAGCAAAGTCCAGGAGATGCCGGCTGGCAGCATGGGTGCAGGTGAGGGCGAGCTCATTAGCAGCCACACCTGCCCCCTCCTCCGAGCCCCACCTGAACTGGCCGCCTGCCCAGAGCAGCCAGGGACCAGGGTGGGGAGAGGGGGAGCCCTTTCCCACCCGCTTCTCCAGGACCCAGCCAGTCCTTCCCCCTCTGCCCCCTGCTGATCCCCGGGCGAAATGGTGGCTCAAGCTGGGGGGCCATGACGTCACCTCTAGGTGGCGGGGAGCCAGGTGGACCCCCCACATCCACGCACAGAAGCCCGCGGGGGCAGGCTGGCCCTTTCTCTCCCTGTAGCCGCTTGCCCCGCGATTTCCTCTTTCTCTGCTGAGCCGAGGTTTCGCAACGTGGCCGCGGAGGTCCGCGGGTGACAGTGAGACACGCAGCCGGGTGGGGGTGGGGGGGAGGGGAGGCGACACAGCCGCAGGCCCCGGGGCCGCTGGGAGGCGACGTCCGGCTCGGTACAGGTGCACTCCGGGCCTGCGCCCCCCCCCGGGCCACGCAGGCGCGGCAACAGCCCTCTTGGCCGGGGGGGAGGTTAGCATCCAGGCCGGCCCCCACCCCAGGCCGCACCCATCCCGGCCCCGCACCGGAGCGGACCCGCACCCATCCCGGCCCAGCACCCATCCAGCCCCGCAGCCACCCCGGGTGCGCCCGCCCGGCCCCCACCTACCCGGGGCGCCGCAGTCGGCGCAGCGCGCGTTCCCCGGCCGCTGCAGCAGCTCCAGGACGGCCCTTCGCCGCTCCTTGGCCATGGCCGCGATGCCGCGCGCCCGCGATGCCGGGCCCGGGCCCGGAGCGTCCGCCCGCCGCGCTAGCGCCCCACGCAGGCCGCCCGCCGCCCGCGGCCCTGCGCCATCCTGGGCGGCCTCAGCCCGCGCGCCGGTTCCGCATTCCTGCCGCCCGGCCCGGCTCCGCCGCCGCTCGTGTCGCCGCCGTGGCCGCCGAGCGTGTGCCGGCGCGGGGCCCGGGGCGCACGGCGCGCTCTGCTCTGGCCGGCGCGGCCCGCGGGCGGCCCCCAGCGGCGCGGGCGGGAGGGCGGGCGGCTCCTTTCGCGCCTGCCCCGGCTCCCAGCCCGCGCGCGTGGGGACCAGCCCAGAGGTCTCCCCGCAGCCTACGCCCATCCGAACTCCGCGTCCCACCTTGGAGGAGGTGGCCAGGGGCACCGGTGTCAGCAGGCGTTCGGGCCACAGAAGGGACAGGACACCTGTGCATGGTCTAAAGTCACCGTGCAGGTCACCGTGCATGGGATAAAGTCCCTCTGTGTCAGGAGGCAACAGACCCAGGAGTGCAGGTGAGGGCAGAGTTGGAGGGGACAGGTTACAAAGGTGTCCCCTTGGCTGCCTGCCTCTGCAGTTTTTCAAATTCTTTCCATTTTCTTCTTAGAGATGCAGTGATGCATGCTATTACAAGCAAACTGAAACTATCAGACCGAAAAATTATACCTTCTCTCCACCCCCACCCCTGGAAATTCTGAGCCAAACACTGTTTAGCATCCTTCCAGAACGGTCCCTGGCCTGTGAGAACACCAGGGGAGTCCTTGTTCCTTCTGATGTTTTACTTTGGTTTGGGGTTGGTTGATTTATTTTCACTTAATAAACCTTCCTATCTCCCAAGTCGGAACATACAGATCCACTTCCTTCCTTTGCGACGGCTGCATCCTGCTTCAAGTTCAGCGGGGCATCACACGCCCACCCAGTTGCAGGTTGAGGGGCCTCGATCTGTTTGTAGACATTCAGAATCACAGACTACACCCCCTGCCCGAGTCCACCGCCAGCACCTTTGCAAACATTCCAAGCGGACTCACCTCCGGGACATGGGGAAAGGCATTCAAATCTGTGGCAAACCTGTGAACTTGCCCTCCATCACGGTTGCACAGGCTTCCTGCCCGGTGCCTGCCTCCCTACACCCTGGCCCACACAGGGTCCCAGAAATTCCAGAACCTTGTCCATCTTTTCCACAGAACGTGGCAACCCACCTGGGTTTGCATTTCTAAATCACTGGCCCCAAGGGGCTGTGTGCTTTATTATTATTTTTTTTCCAGTAGTCTCTACATCCAACGTGTGCCCTGAACTCATCACCCCAAAATGAAGAGCTGCAGGCTCCACCGACTGAGCCAGCCAGGCGTCCTGTGGTGCTGTGTGGTTTAACTGGTCACACATCTGTCTCCCTCATCAGACTGGAGCCTCATGAACAAGGACAGATGGCATTTTCATCTCTGGGCCCCTGTGCCAGGGTCAGATTCTACCACCTGGCACAAGCGAGAATGTTGCTTAAGGAAGATGTTAGCAAGTTACAGCTGCTGACTAGTTACCAAGCACCAGGCATTAGGTTAAACCCCTTAAAATACTTTCTTAGTTAACTCCCCTCTTTATATATATATATATATATATATATATATATATATATATATATATAT